TGATTAGCAATATTTGCATTTAGTTTCAAGACATACCACAACTTCCCTATCTGTCTCTCCTCAAAACTATTACTTCTCCCAAGCACTTGTATTTTTTATTATTTCCTTCCTTTCCATTCCTGAATTTCTGGATTCATTCCCAATCCCCAGTTTTTGCTCCCTAGTTATTTCCATTGGTCCATTTTTACTGCCTTTCAATTATATATGTGGTATATTTTAAAAACGTACTAAATAAAAAGATGTATCCATATCATCATGCTGCAGATGTATGATCAGATCTTGTGTTATTTTTAACCATTACATAATTATCTTTGTTCTATTCAAAGGCATTGTATAAGATTTCAAATACAGGATGTGTATTTAGTCTCATTTTCCTTCTAATTCTTTTCTTATGATGAAAAAGGAATAGCAAAAGGAAAATGGGGAATGTAATTTCTCAGCTTTCATCTACAAGCTGAAATAGAGATGAACAGATGAAGAAATTCATATAGACTTAATACTAAATTTGATTTTCCCCCCACTTCTAAGAAATTATAACATTCTAAAATATTATGACAAGCAACTACACTTTTTAAATTTCTAATACTTTTTTTTACAATTTTGTTATGTTATACATTCTGATATACAGTAACATTTGATAATCTGTTACTAGGCAGAAAATTTTTTAATTCATTACAATGAAGCTATTTTTAATTTCTTAAAAGGAATTTAAATAGTGGATTTTTAATAATTCTCTAAGCTTCAACAGAAATGAATGGGTTTTGTTAGTAAGTAATCATTAACTTCCATCAGACTGGATTATTTTGCTGTTCATAAACATTTTTATCAAAATTTAATTTTTAGAAATGTCACTTAGGCTGTGGTAATTTTCATGCCATTCTTATTATGTTTTTTCATTATGATGTCAACATTCACTTAATAATTGTCTTGCTTAGCAAGAGAAATTTTGGGTTCAATTATGGTGGTAAATCAAGGATATTGCTGAGCACATTGTAAGCCGCCCTGAGTCTTCGGAGAAGGGCGGCATATAAATCAAATAAAAAAAAAAAAATTATCTATAGATATAGATATAGTGGTGGTGATAGATATAGTGATGCCAAGTGACAGCAACATCAGGAAGGAATAGAATAAAATAGAATAATTTTATTTCTATACCGCCCTTCTCCTGAAGGACTCAGGGTGGTGTACAGCCTATTCAAAACACAAGACAACATCAGTTAAAATAGTTTAAAATTATTAAATGAATTCGGCTCAATTTAAAACCCAGGAATTTAAAACCCAATTTAAGATTGTTATGTTGATAGCCCAGCCTGGCGGAACAACAGGGTCTTGAGTGCACAACGAAATACCCGGAGGTCGGAGATCTTACGCATTTCCAGGGGCAGTTCATTCCACAGGGCTGGGGCTCCCACAGAGAAGGCCCTCCCCCTGGGTGTCGCCAGCCGACATAACTTGGCCGATGGCACCCTGAGGAGACCCTCTCTGTGGAAGCGAACTGGCCGGTGGGAGGCTATTGGTGGCAGAAGTCGGTCTCGAAGGTACCCGGGTCCCATGCCATGGAGCGCTTTAAAGGTGGTGACCAACACCTTGAATCGCACCCAGAAGACCACTGGGAGCCAGTGCAGCTCATGCAGGAGGGGTGTCACGTGGGCACGAGTTGCGCCCATAACCACCTGCGCGGCCGCATTCTGGACCAGCTGGAGCCTCCGAGTGCTCTTCAAGGGAGCCCCATGTAGAGAGCATTACAATAGTCCAGCCAGGAAGGAGGAGTATGAGAAGCCCCAGGGTCTGAAGGAGGAACTAGAGAGGATGTAGAAAGTAAAGGCCAAATTTGTCCCAGTGGTGGGAGGAGCACCTGGTCTGTGACTCCAAAGTTGGGAGAGTGCCTCCAATAGATCCCAGGAACAGAGCTCTCTGTCCAGTGTCACAAATTATTTTATTATCTTGAAGAACCAGAGTATATGCCCCAAAATATTTATCTAGTACAGGTTTATTTAGCATTTAGGATTACTTTTTAAAAATCTATATGCAGTCATTTAATTTAGACAAGCATTTTTTTACTGTAAATAGTCACCTCTCATCCTAAATGCTATTCATATTTGCTTAGTCAAGGAAGCTTTCCTGACATCTAATTACAAAATTCGTTCAACTGCCTAAAATTATAAATTGAACAGATAACATGACTAAGGTTGTTTAAAAATTGAAAATAAAGCCAACATAGAACTAAGCACTGACTCATAACTTCATAATTATGCCTGCTCAAAAGAATCAAATGTGCATTCTTTATTTTATTGTAATTAGGCAAACACATCTATATGATTTACATTGGCCAGAAACTTTTAAGACAACTGTATGTATTGTACGTGTGTGTGTGTATATATACATATATGCATATACCTACATATACACACTTTGTAATGTATATTATCAATCTTGAATAAGATTTGTAGATTTGCTTGTATGTTTGAAATCACTTCATTCATTTGCACTGAGTTTCAGCCAGCAGATAGCCCGTCCCAATGTATAGCTAACCTAATGCTTTATCAAAGTCTGAGGAAGCAAACCATTCCAAAAGGGTTGGATGGCAAACCTATGGCACGCGAGCCGTTGCTGCGCATGCACATGCGCCTGTGGGGCGTGTATGCGGGACCGCGAGTGCATGCATGGAACCCATGCAAGTGCAGGCATGGGGCCCATGCGGGGGCCCATGCACACATGCATGGGCGCATACAGTGGGCTGTGCGTGCAGGGGCGGAGCGCATGCAGTGGGCCACGCACATGTGTGGGGCACATGCGCAGGGGCCGCATGCACATTGCAATTTGGGGTTTGCACGCTTTGGGCACTCAGTCCGGAAAAGGTTAGCCATCACTGGGGTAACACTATAGCCTCCCTGCTTGTTATAAAATTCATGTTGAAAGCAGTGTTTGATTTCTATCAGACTTAACATCCATACTATACCAGAATCAGTTAGGTGATTTTTAGCAAATTTAGATGAAAAGTTATTATATGTCTTAGTGAGCAATGGCTTAGTCTTGTCATTCTTATGTGAAGCCCAGTTTTACTTGTGCTTTTGTGATAGTGATGTCATAAACACTGATTTTTGTCATGTAAGATCAGCAAATCCTTGGGATATTTCTTTGGGGAAGAGATGGGGAATTAACTTTACCTCCCCAATGATTTCATGCTGTACTCTTAAAATAATTTTGTCCCAAACTGTCTCCATTTCAAGTATTTGCTTCTTACTGTGAATCAGTGGCACTCCAGAACTTTAGAAATGGTTTTGTAAATTAACAGACAGATAGGGTTATATTTTTTTAACAGAAGTCTTCAGAAACCTTTTTGACTGGCACGTAATGTGCTTTAGAATCTCTGAGGTAAGAATTTTACTTTGATGAGGGGAGCCAAGATCTGCAAAATTGATGTAGATTAGGAGACAGTTCATGCTGCATAATCATAAAGAAATGACAAAAGCACCAAATGTTAGTATTACATGAAGGTGATACATTCAGTTGAAAAAAACTGCAAAAAAAAAAAAAATCAAATGTGAAAATTAATACCTCTAAATAAATCCAAACTTTATTTGGATAAATCCAAATTTTAAATCCCATTTGAGTCTAATCAACTAAATTTTTATGCAATCTGATTTCTGAGTTATTTATAATATTATTCTTATCCCAAATAATTGTAAGCGTTTAACAATTTTGCTCAATTTTTAGTATTCTTTTGCTTATAATCCCCATCCTCAAATAGAAGTCTTATTTATTTATACAAAAAGAACTACAAGTATGATTTGACAGAAAAACTACATTTCATTGAATACTTAATTTATAAAATTCAGTATTAATTATTTTAAAAAAAATATACTGCTCAAAAAAATAAAGAGAACACAAGCAGAAGACATCCGAGATCTGAATGAATGAAATAGCCTTATTAAATACTTTGTTCGTTACATACAGTAGTTTGCTCAAACAACTAAAGGGAACACAAAACTACTATATGTAACGAACAAAGTATTTAATAAGGCTATTTCATTCATTCAGATCTCGGATGTCTTCTGCTTGTGTTCCCTTTATTTTTTTGACCAGTGTATATGCATGTATAAAAGTATACATGGTGTGCATTATAGACTGGAGTCATGGGACTAATAAGTGTTAGAAATTTTTTTAAAAGGAGAAAGTAAACAACAGGCGTAGGAAAGCAAGCAGGCGTGTTGGACTCTGTAAATAAATTCAGGGTTATGAATAATTCAAGACTGAGCAGGAATTCTTTTTTTTCCATTTTATTACTTATATTGAATTAATATTCCATCTTTCTTGTTATATGTAAGATGGACCTCTCGAGTTAATTTATAAAAAAATGATCCCATTGTGCTGATCTGAAACATGTATATATGTATATGTGTATATTTGTGTATAAATACTAAATGTCCATAATAATAATTGTGTTGCGTAAAAAAAATGCAGAACAAGAGTTAATTTCAAGGAATATTGTTTAATTTCTTTTAGATAATTTTGCACAACAGTTACAAAATATTTTTTTACAGAGATAGCATTAGCCTTGACTCGGAAGCTAGTTATGGTCAAGTTTGTTCCGGACAGGAGACCACCTATTTTGGAAAAAGCAAAGAACTACTTCTGTGATATTGCCATGAAAATGAGATGGATATGTCCATGCAGTGTCCAGGAAATCAAGTTCTACTTGAAGGAAATTTTATTTTTAGTATTTATAAAATAAGACAATTTGGAAAAACCATTAATGAAAGCAAGGATTAAATCAACCATCACCTCAGCCAACCCAGGTAATTTGAAGAAACAAAATAATATGTCTTAATCTATGCATGCATAATGAAAGACTGCATACTTTAACCATAATACTCACTTCCATGTGTGTTTTGATGTCTCAAAATATATGATACAACTGATATTTAAATGTGAAGGCTGATTGGTTGTTCCCTATGAAAAAACTGTTTAAATATGAGCCAAACAAAGAAAAAATCCTTGAACTACCAAGGCTTCTGAAGCAAACCATCCAACAGAATTATCAAAGGTAAGCTTATTCGTTTTTTCAAGTTATTGTTCATTTTCATTATTTACAGAATAAAACTGGAGTCAAATCAAGACATATATACATAGACATATACAACTGACATATAAGCACAGTTTTTCTTCTGAAATGGCAAAAATGAATCAGCTAGTACTTTTATATTTAAACACATTTCTCAGTATTGCTTATTTTATGTTTAAAATAAAGAATCTAATAAAAGCTTTGAGCTTCTTAAACAAGATACATTTCTGAATTTCAATAATACTTAAATTCACATTGTGGGAATACTCAAAATTTGCTTTTGAGTTATTGACATTTCTTTATTCATCCTTAACATTTAATTAAGTGCTGCTTGTTTCACATATTTTCCTTATTCCTTTCAATGATCAAGCAGGCTTTAGTTTAAAAGTAGCATTATCAACAAGTTATCTAATGTTAAATTTATATACAATATATTTTGTGGGTTCATGAATTCACAAAAAACTACAGATAATTTACGTTTTATGCTTTAACTTATAGAACCTGTATATAGATATTACACAGGCAAGTTCAAAGGCAGGCAGATCACCCTAATATATTCTCTTATTGGATGTCATGGAAATCTTTATTCTGTTTATTCAACACAAACACTTTAAAGTTAGTAGTGACAAAATGATGGCTTGGTTTGTATGTCCTAAGCAAATTTTGTCAGAAATAGAAACAGAATTGAATTCAGGAAAAATCTTGAATTTTCAGGATGTGAAATATATTAGAAATAGTCTTCAGTATATGATCTGAGAATGTGTTGGTTTTGTCTTAAAACCAAGGAATCATACTGTGTTGTATCTTGTATCTTGTATACATGCCAAGATACAACTTCAGGAAACATCCACTATAATTGCCTTTTTCCGTGAACCTAACAAATTAAGCACTTAAAAGTTCATTAGTTTAAATGGAAAGGGGATATTTTTCCTGTTATAACTACAGCAATTGTTATTCTACAGATATAATATTCTCCTTTACCCTTAAAAATTAATAGTTTTAATAGTACATCGAGGAAATATAAAAATATATATTTTAGGCTTCATGCTATCATAAGATGAACATATTTCTTTTTATGCTGTAGGATTTTTCATGAGAAAGATGGAGAGCTGGACTTTGGTTATGTGCCTCTTAAGTACTACATTTGCAATCCCAGTAAGTCTTCTTAAGTAATGTAATCTCAAAGTATTGAATTAACAGTTCATGACAAGTGAAAATGCATGAAATAACTACAATGAATACTAAGGTTTAACATCTTTTACCAAATTTGGGAATAGAAAACATGGTGTCCCTCACATTTCCTGCACATCCCAAATTTATAAATATCAGTATTTTATATAGGCTTTTAAACTGCTTCAAACAGGAGCTTCAATACTGTTTGAATAGTAGCTCTTAGTTTGTCCTGGTCTAAGACAGTAATAATAAATTGTTTGACCTCTTAGTTGCCTGCCATCTTTAGTCCCTAGATAATTTTAGCCTATTCTAGGCTAATAAAGATAGCATCTGGAAATCAGTACTTCACTATTCACTGATCCTCCTGCCGCCCCCCCCCCCGCCCAAGAAAAAAACCCTGACTGGTCACAATACTATTAATTGATAAGGGGGGTAAGATTGGAAATGGCAGAAGAGTAAACCAGAAAGGTCTGGAGTATGTAAAATGAACAAAAGGTGGGGAGATAGAAATTGGGAAAAACCAAGAGGATGGGTACAGATAGAAGAAAGACTAGGGCTGTATCTCAGAAAGAAATGTTGGTCTTTGGAAAGCTCAGGAAGAAAAAGGGAGTATTTGCACGTAAAGGATAAAATTAATCAACGGTGGAGTTCTGCTGAGAAGACTGTGCTAAGGAGGAGCATTAGTACTGATATCAACCTACAGTAATATCTGTATATTTTTTCCTTTATACACTTTGCTTTATATCCATATATTTTGGGATTTATACATTCCTTCTATAACGATTGTGGTTCCATAAATTGTTTCCATTTTAACTTTCAGAAATAGGGGTTTTTATCCAATCATTCTTATTAGGGCATTGAATTTTATAAAGGAGAAATCCATGGAAATTACAAACACTTAGTTGGAAAGGGCAACCTGCTCTTCAGAGCAGAAGCCAATGAAAACACACCAAGGAGACGCTATTCAATTTCCACTTGAACATCACCAGTGAATGTGAGCCCATCACCTCTGAGGAATTGATTCCATTGTAAAATTTCTCCTACTTTTAGGATTTTTTTTTTTCAACATTCAATTAGAATTTGTCTTCTAGTAACTTAATCCTATTATTCTGTGTCTTGCATATTGGAATGACAAATAACAGGTCTTAATCATTTTTCCTCGTGCCATCCTTTCAAATATTTGAAAAGCATTATAAGCCCTACCAGTTCTATCTTTTCATGAAATTCTAGTTCCTTCACTCTGTTTTAAAGGTTTGGTTTTTAACTCCCTCTTGCTGCTCTTCTTTAACTCTTGCTGCTCTTCGTTAAACCTTTTTTTTGGGTCTGAATCCTTTTAATGTGCAACATCTAGAATTAGACCCAATATGGGAGGTAAGATCTGACCAAAATGTGGGTAAAATTCACAACTGCTATTTTTCTTGCTCATCACACTATTTAGCTTGTAATCGACCATTATTCCAACATCATTTTCATGAATATAGTTACCAAGACAAGTAGTCCCATACTATATATTTTAATTTTTTTCTGAATTAGTCTGTTAAATTTACTCATTTTTTCCATTTGTTTAATTTATTAAAATCATTTTGAAATTTAGTTTTGTCTTCTAAGATAATGATAGTTTGTCCACTTTCATGTGATATTTTTTCATACAAATCATTCATCATATCATCTTTAAAGTCTACCCATTTGACTTGTGGCACACAAGTTGATATTTCTCTCCATCCAATGAAGAACCATTGATAGGCACCCCGAGTACTATTTTCAAACAAGCTATATACAGGTACTGCTCGACTACAACCACAATTAAGTCCAAAATTTCTCTTGCTAAGCAAGACAGCTGTTAAGTGAATAACATATTATGACCTTTCTTTACACAGTTAAGTGAATAACTTCAGTTGTTAAGTTAGTAACATGGTTGCTAAGTGAATCTGGCTTCCCCATTGACTTTGCTTGTCAAAAGGTGATCACATGACCTCAGGACATTGCAACTGTCACAAATATGAATCAGTTGACAAGCATCTGAATTTTGAACATATGATCATGGGAATGCTGCAATGGTCATACGTATGAAACACGGTCATAAGAGACTTTTTCCAGTGCTGTTGTAACTTCACTAAACAAACTGTCCTAAATTGAAGGCTACCTGTATGTACATGATACTTTTTTCAAACACTTTATGAAATACAGCATGAATGCTATTTCCTCAATTTACTAAAATACTTGCTTGGTATTCCCTCAATCTACTAAAAATGTTACACAGTCAAAAAGCAAGGTAAGGTTGGTCTCAAAAACCTTATCTCGATAAATCCTTACATTCTGGAAACTTATCGTTTTCAAGGGGATTACAAGTCAACCATTCTGTTGATAACTATATTGAACCAAAATGAAAACTCCTTTTTCCACTTTTTAATGCTACGAATATTCGTCCCCTGCAATCACCTCACACTGTATCTGTTCTGTAGGATTTGTTAAAGATAAATACTAAAGGCTCAGCCATATCAACAGCAAGTTATTTCATTACCCTGGAAAGTAATTCAACTGGTTTAAACTTATCCAAAGTAAACACATTCTTTAATCATGTATCTATTAATTTCAGGCTTTTATTTTGCTGCTTCATCTTGTTCTTCACAGTTGCTTGGTGGAATATATACCCTCCATATCAGCCTCCTTGCCTAAACAACCTAAAACCAAAAGTGATGCTTTTACAAGCAAGTTTCTCAAAGAGCTCTCTTTATCAAGATTTAGTGAGATGAATTATTCCCATTTGGGACTAATACATCCCAGTGTACATAAGAGTGGAGCCTTTCTGATCTTCTTTCTAATAGCTTTCTTGTGATCTGGCTAGGAGACTGCATTTTTCTTTTATAAAGAAGATTTAACCCGGTTATTTACCGTACATAACAATATCTTGAATCTGGGAACCAGCTATTACAGTTTGTTATAAAAAAAAACTAAGTCAAAATATGAGTTGAATATCTCTGCCTTTCTCTATTACCTTTCATCATTTTGCTTCTTAACTCAAAAGCAAGAATTAGTTGAACAGATCTGAGAAAAAAATAATTAAAAAACTGTTTTTGGCATCCTTTTATCAACATTTGGGTTTCAGTTTTCCTGATACTACCTCTAAAGTCCCAGTTATATGTATGGTAACTTCTTTCTCTTCTAATATAATATATATCTTTTTCTTTTCAGATATTCTTAAAGGAAAATTTTGTTCTACTTCTTTCTACCATCTTATGCTGTTCATGTTTCAAAAAAATATTATTAATTTTGCTAGAATCCCACACTCATAGCTCCTTGTTGTAATAGAGACTCCTACTTTGAATTCTTTTTCCTTTTGAGTTTTCATCTCCAACTCCAAAGTTCAGTTTAAATGTATTTTATTCATGTTTGAAATACTATAATTGAACATTATTTGTCTTTTACAATATATAATTTCAGATAGTAACTTCACCTTTCTTGGTTGTCTAGTTTAAAGTATATACATGTACATATATACATTTAAAGCAGTACAGAATTTGGCTTATTATTATCGTACAGAAGAATGCAGCTATCTCAATTTATTCAGCCCACTAAAGTTCCAGATATACTTACTGTTGGATATCTTAAAAATTGGAATAGGTTCTCTCTCACACTGTAAATATCTCATTTTTTTCCAGCTACCACAACATCCTGGTTATATCAATTTCAGTTATGAGGTAAAAAAAATGAAATTTTGTGTTTTGCTTGTATTCATACATGTACAGTAAAGGATTAGAGAGCACAGGATTACTCAAAGCGAAGTCTAATGTTTCTCTTCAACTGACTTGATAACTTTTAGCAAGGAAGGGTACAATGAATTTATACAACCTTACCTTCAGGTGAAATGATCAAGTACAAGATAGCTGAAACTTTTACTGTTTATGCTGGGAAACAAGGAGTGTTTCATGAAACATATGCTAAACACTCTATGTTCAAAATATCCTAAGAATTAAAACAGTCTTTCAGAGCATTCCGTGCTCCTGAAATAAAACACAGTACATTTCATAGTTTTGTCTCAAGTTTCAAATAAAACCTTGGAGTACTGAAATCCAAATAATTTTATTTACATATGCATTGTGGCTGACATACTGCACTAATCTGCTTTTTTAAAGTGTTTGAAGCCATGGGGATTCGGAGGGGAGATATTTGAAGATGCTGTTTCCACTTACTGAAGTTACTTGAAGAGATTAGGAAAGCAGATTTTCAGAGATAGAAAACAGGCGAAGTTTTTTATGGGTCAGGTGATAGGTAGCATGTAATTATTTCCTTTTTTGAAGGGGGGGAGAAAATTAGGATAAAAACAACAACCCAGAATCGTTTTAATTTCCCATTGTTCCCATGGCACAATACCCCAAAATGTTCCGAATTAGTTTCAGTGGAATATGGAATTGAAGTCATTTTGAGTTTTATTCACTCAGCATCACACTCCAAACATTCTGAAAAACATTCCAACTGTCTTGTTTTATCCTGAATTTAATTTCTATACATCTATTAGCTGAGCAAGAGCAAAGGAAGATTTACAGATATCAATACTTCAGTAAGGTGACCGTTACGTTAGTTTTAGGGGTAAATAAAGAAACTTGGAAACTAAGAAGATTTCCAATCTTCATTTGTCAGTGAGTTCATTAGGGTGGAGTGTCTAATAACATTCTGAATAGTCCTCCAACGCCCTAAGATTTTAACCACCTGGATTAAATGCTGTTTATGAATAAGCTACCAATGCATTCCCCTCCTATCTCTTAGTTGTTTATATCTAACATTCCTTCCATTACCAGCATTCCCACAATCTCTCACTTTATCCATAGGCTATTGTAACTGGAAATAAAATGTGATAAATAGACTTTGTTCAAGCAATGCAATGGTGGCTTTTTTATACAAAAGGAAAATAATTAACCAATGCTTAGGTACATACAATATAGGCTTTTAATTAAAATCAGTCCACTACTATTTGAAAATGATGCGATTAACTACCTAAATGAAATATAATTTACTAGTAGATATAAAATACTGGCAATATGCTGTAAGTTCTAATTCTGTAGCATGTAATATTATTAAAGACATAGAAATGTAGCATGGAATATTTGTAAGTGATACTCGGATGCAATAAGAATGCACTTTAATAAAAACTTGTTACTCTAAAAACAATTGCACATTTTATACAGTCTGGATTCACAGACTACATTAAGCCAAAATAATAAAATACCACTGTAAATTGTTTATACATTATATTTATATCTAGCCTTATTTTTAGATGGTGCATATAGCATTCCTTTCTCCAATATTTTCCTATAGTAACAACTCTGTGAGTTAACTCAGAATGAGAAGAAATAGTGGTCAACCAGTGAGTTTCCATAGCAAAATAATGCCTTGAACCTAGATTCTCCATCCTTATCCAAAACCTTACTACTAAACAACACTGATTGAGTGTGATGCATGAAAGTCAGGTTTGTTAGATTTCATAAATTATGCTTGTTTTTGTATCTTCTAAGGTGATGACACCTTTGAAATGGTTTCAGAGCATAATTGGACACCAGGTATGTCAGATATCTTGTCTCTTATGAGACATTAATGATAAATTCGTAACAGTGCCAATAATGGAGACAGAGATGGGATATACAGTTTATCTCAGATATGCGTAATTCCACATTGTTCTGTTTGTTTAATATGCCCTAAAATTCAGCTGATTCCCAAGGCCATGAATTCCAAATCTATATATATAAAAGAAAAACCACTCATGCATTAAACACGAAATCTCCAGAACCATAAAGCCTACAAACTTGAAATTTGCCACATATGTTCCTCTTGGCTTCTAGGTGCTCACTAAGAAAGGATTTTTCGAAATGACCATCAGAGCATTAGTATTTCCTATATTATTATTAACATGCTCTGATGCTAATTAGTTAAACGTTCTACTCCCGCTCCCAACTTGAAAATAACTCTGGAGAGAATGGGATAGCATAGGATAGGCTTCTGTGGCACAAGCCTCATGGAAAGAAGAGGCTAGAAAGTCTGAGGGAGAGAAGGAGATAGGATAGGAGACTTTCTGTGGGGCAAGGCTGAGGGAGAGAAGGGGAGAGGAGAGGCTTCTGTGGGGCCAGCCTGAGGGAGAGAAGGGGAGAGGAGAGGCCAATTGTAACTACTCATTAATTTTCAAACTCTAAGTGTCAATTTATCAAGCCCCATCACATAGTTTCGTAGCGAAGCACGGGTATCCAGTTAGTATTTATATATTTTTGATTCATTGAGTGTGAAAAAGATTTATTATAATCTCTATCATAAAGGTCTAAAACAATTTCTTTAAACTACTGCAAACAAAATTCTTTTGATATGCCAGAAATGTAACTGTAAAACAGTGCCAACTGTTTCCCCGCAGATTATGAAAGTACTGACAAAATTGATATGATGCTGTCATAAGGCCTACTTGACCCTTTTCTCCTGATAAAAATAAGAAATGGTCTTCAACACAGTACAAAATAGGTGGCCCAACTGATTCTACTCACATTAGTTTTGGGCACTCAAGTTTTCTTATGCATAATTAGAGTTCTGGTCAAAACTGTAAAGTACTTCAATCTGGAATTGATTTTCACATGTTCTTTGTCTACATATGTGTATTCCTGATGCAATCAACCTAATGCTAGTAGAAACAGAAACAGAAACCAGAAACAGAAAGTATAGATAGTCCTCAATGTACCACACTCAATTTGGACCACAACTGAATCCAAAATTTATGTTGTTAAGTGAGCTTTGTCCCATTTTATGACTTTTCTTTCCTCATTTGTTAAGTGAATTACTGCAGTTGTTCAGTAAGTAACACAGTTGTTAGGTGAATCTGGCTTCTCCATTGACTTTGCTTGTCAGATGGTTGCAAAAGACAATCACATGACCCTGGGACACTGCCCACCATCATACATGTGAGTCAGTTGTCAAGCATCTTAATGTAAACCACATGACCAAGAGGATGCTACAACAGTCATAAGTTTGAAAAAGGATCATAAGTCAGTTTTTTCAGTGCCGTTGTAACTGTTGTAAGTTGAAGACTATCTGTAGTCAAGCAATATATAACAGTGATGCTGTAGGAGAAGTTAGTAGGTATAGTTAAATAACATGTGATCAACTCATATTGTATAATAATAGTTGTTACAGCCACTATACTTCAAATAGCTGAATAAATCATTAACTTTCTTGATGCTGCAGGAGTACAATTTATAGAAATATTTGTATAATAACAGTATTTTGTGAAAAATATTAAGCTGTATGATTTGTAGTAGTTGACATTCTTTGCACATGAATAATCTTAAATTTTTCTCTCATTTCAGTATCCACGTTACGGCTATGAGCCCATGGGAGGGTGGATGCACCATAATGCAGGACCAATGATGCAACCACCTCACTTTCATGGGGTCCATGCAATACACCCAGCTCTCCATCAAAAGCAGCCACATCAGCTTCCTCAGAACCCACAATTGCAGCAACCAGGCCTTAATGCATTTGTTCCACTAAATGGGCATAATGCATTAATTCCACACTATCAGCATCCACTTCAACCACAAGCAGGCGAGCATCCAATGCAACCCCTACCACCAGTAAATCCAATGAACCCTCAGCAACCAGGGAATGCCAATCAGCCCATGTACCCACTACCTCCCCTTATCCCAGATACACCTCTTGAATCATGGCCAGCTGACAAAACCAAGAAAGAAGAAGTGGTAAGTAATCTTTACTATAATATTGCAATTTCCAGAGGAGTAGCTATGTGAGTCTATTTCTCCCTATTAGAGATTAACATATTTAAGGACCATGGCAGCATCAAGATATTTGTTATACATCTGAAAATAAATTATATGTTAAATTGTATGCGTACACACACACACATTATCTCTTTTATTTCTTAGTCAACACACAAAATATATATATAGTGATTTTATGCAGTACAGGTACTCCTTGATTTACAACCATAATTGAGCCCAGAATTACAGTTATAAATTGTGGCAGCCGTTAAGTGGACCACATCCAATTTTGCTTACTAACCACCAATTTTAATGGTGGTTAGTAAGCAAACCATGTAGTTGTTAAATGAACTCTTCTTCAATTTTCTTCAATGGGTGTTTTTTTGCTGGAAACTGGAAGCAAATGCCACTAAGCAGCAAAAAAGCTGAAAATTATGGTCACAGGAGTGCAGCACCCTGCAAAAAGCTGTAAATGTAAATGCCCAAAACACAATCACATAAGTGCTCAAGGTAGTGCTGGTATTGCAGACATCAGAGTCATAAGTAGCTCTGGGGAGATCTGTCATAATGGCCAATCTCCCTAAGAGACCGGGCATTAAGTAAAGACTACCTATAGTTAGCACTCTTTCCTGGGTTCTATATCATAACTGGTTCAACAAAAACAAACAAACCGCACCGGTTACTTATTTAACATTCAACATTTCTATTTATCAACTCAATTGATTTCCATTATTATTGTTTGAATGATGCCAAATTCAATGAAAAGAAATGCTATAAAATAGTTCTATCTGTCATTTAGTTCACTTCAGAGGAAAACAACTCCCCTTCCATGACACAACTCTATCTTTGAAATTGTATAAAACTGTATCTGTTTCCAAGGCTTTGTTGCTTTATAAACAGTACGATCAGACACCTTGTAACTCATGCCACTTTGAACATGGCTTATGACTTTTATTTTAAAAAAAGAGAACTGGCAATCCCAATTATCACAGTGAGGTTTCTCATAACTAAGAATCAGATTTTAATTTTGTCATCTTGGTCTTACTTTTTCTAGGATTAAACAATGAAGATACCAGGATTAAAGAAGTGAAGATACCAGAATAATGCAAGCAAAGCAATAATTTGGATACTGTTACATGCTTTCAAGAGTCCAAAGTTTTTCTGCAGTTAGTAATAAAAGTTTCCATTAATCCAGATTTATAGAATTATAGATAGAAGCAGATAAAAGAAGAAAACAAAAATTGTTCAGTAATTGTGGAGGTATGATTTTTGAGGTATAACCAATAAAGTACTATAGCATCATTATAGTGGAAGATTGTCTCTTCTGTCAAAGGGGGAAACTGTGCTGTTGTTTATATGGCTTATAAAAATTTATATATATATATATATATATATATATACTCATTATTCTTAACAAATAACACATAAAACACATTAAAAAGCAATGATTCAGTAACATAAAGAATCATATTGTTTAATATCAGGCACAAAGCTAATATCTTGTTTCAAGTCCAAAAATATATAATTGGGATTTATTGCCTAAAAGATTACAAAAATATAGTTTTTGTGTGTTAAAAGACAAAAAGTTGAAATGAAAATAAAAATCAAAGTCAAAACAAGAAAACAAAATCTGCAATTATGAGACACTTTAGCTGTTAATCGCAAATTAAAATATTATTCTAATAGAAATATTGCACATGCAATACTAATTTCATTAATACACTCTAAATTAATGAATTTAAAAATGAATAGGTTTTCTAAAACATTTGGTAGAAGTTCACCTCCTACCCGTATTTTATCTGAGAACCCTGAGTAAAGAGGGGGAGTGATGATTAATTATGAAGCAACTATTGATTGCAAGCCAGTAATCTTCCTTTTGCTGATGGAAAAAGCAGATCTCCCTGCAAGAAGTTTAAAATAACACTGTTCCTAAAAGTTAACCTAATCAACACCGCCATACATTAATGCAAGAAAATGCTAATGAAAAATAACCATATCAGTCAAATTCAAATCACAGATGAGATTCTTCATAATTCAAAGGAAGAAAATATCCTACCCCAAAAACACCTGATCTCAGAAGCTAAGAATGTCTGGGGTGTCTCTGTCAGCAAGCGAACTTTTAAAAAAATCTTATCTGGAATCTGTTCTTAGATAGTATCAAGTGAGAAAGGAAAGGCATCAAGCAACATGCTTTAGTATTTTACCTACGTTAATATGTTGTTTAAGATATAAAAGGAGATCATGAAAAAAAACTAGTCTACTTGCTTCTAGGGGGACATTAACTAATTGTCTGTTTTGGATTGAGTTGTGGTAGCCAGATAACTTGCCATATCCAAAGACCAGCACAGCTTTGGGGCCACAATGTAAAAGGTTGAAGACCTTTCACACATGTTAACACTTAGCTATTGTGAGTATTAATCTAAGTTCTCCCAAGTGAAAAATTAACCAATATTTATACACAAGTCTGTGAGCTGGATGCAGCTTAAAGACAGTGATTGGCCTAAAGTCAATTTGGTTGGTATCGTGTTTCCAAAATTAAAACAGATTTGAAAAGACGCTCTTTGAACTCATGGGTCCTCAGAGAGACTTGAGAAGTAGCAGCCAAAAGTGAGGCAATGCAATCAAAGCACAAGAGATAAACAGAAAAAAAAGCCCAGTGATTATAAGATAAGGAAAAAGATAAAGGACAATAAAACATAGTCCATGCCCAATTCCTCATGATTGTTAGATGTTGCTGAAAAAATATACTGAGAGAATCTTTCCCTACAAGTCAAGAATCTCTAGTGGTAATTTCCTCTAATGGAAATATATAGAGCATTTGTTTCCACTGTGGATAGTTTCAGCCCTCGATGGAAAAACTGCTCTACTAGAAAAAGTCCTGTCTGTAATTTATATTATTCTACTTCTGCTATGCATTCAAAGGAACCAAAAGAGAGTGTTCAGAGCAGGGGTGAAATCCAGCAGGTTCTAACAGGTTCTGGAGAATCGGTAGCGGAAATGTTGAGTAGTTCACAGAACTGGCAAATACCACCTCTGGCTGGCCCCACAGTGGGGTGGGAATGGAAATTTTGCAATATCCTTCCCCCAGGAGGGGAGGGAATGGAGATTTTGCAGTATCCTTTCCCTGGAGTGGGGTGGGAGTGGAGATTTTGCAATATCCTTCCCCTGCCATGCCCACCAAGCCACGCCCACAGAACCGGTAGGAAAAAAATTTGAATTTCACCCCTGGTTCAGAGTACTTTGCAAGTACATTCCAAGATTTTACGATTACCATCAAATGCTGATCTTTGAAGAGCTTTAGGCCATAGAGGCGAAACTCCCCAACCTTTTAATGAAAGCAGCAGAATGTTCAAAGTTCTTTTGTGCACTGGGAACCTGTTTTCCTCTTTTTTCAGGAAATGACTTAAAATATTATCTGAAAGTGTGGAGAGCTGGGGGTGTTGCAAATACAAACTGCTCCTTTATTGTAGTTTTGTCAATAGATATTTCACTGGATTTAGCTGTTTCTGTTTAACTTTGCATCACTTTTCTCTTTTCATCATCAGAGAAAATCAGATTTTCTCTGATTCTCTCTCTTCTATTCTGCTGTCCCCAGGTACTGCCACAGTCACTATCCAGTCTTTTTTTTTTTTTTGTCTTTCTTATTGACAATTGTTAAGTCTGTTTTTTATCAGGGCAACCTGATCTACCCAAATATGGGACGGAGCATACCACTTCCACTTTCATCTTTCAGCCCCAACCCAGCAGCCTTCGCAGGCAGTCTCTTTTGTGACAAACTATTTTTGTGTTAAATCATTATATTTACTGACAAAGAAATAAAGGGAGACTAGTATAGATCTATTTCAAACTATTTAGCTCTCGTCAGCTAGCCATACCCTTCTGTGATTCGAACCTGGGATTCTGGGGGGTTATGTGGCAGATACTTGTGTCTTTGAATTCTAAACTCTCAAAGCACTTCACCTTCTTCATTTTCTATTACTTTATTTATTTATTTTGTGGTCGCACCAGTTCTTCCTTGCAGGCAAATGGTATTTCTTGCAGATGTTCCAGTGCATCATTGTTATCATGTCTTTGTTTGTAGTTAACTGCTTTGACAGTATTTCCTCCACTGAGTTTCGACTAAGATCTTCTTCAGTCTCATGATATATTCACTTCAATGTGCTTCATGTCAATTCGAAAGATGCTTAAATATTTGTAGTCATCTTTTTCATTAAGATTGTTGATTTTATTTCTATATGGCATCTTGATTTCTTCAGTTTTCACTATTTTTCCCCTGCCTGTGTTAAGAGTGGCACATCTTTCTAGTAAGCAACTTTTCTTCCAGTAATGCTGCAACTGTTGGCCCTGGTTGCTCAGCAACAGACCTCAGTCCTATTGTCACCAGATGTCCTGGAATGCCAATATTTAGCATGATCCTGGGTGACCCAGACGACAACCTGTCTAGTATAGTTTTCTGTAAATTATCTCTCAAGATATTGTTTATGGTAAAGACACTCTTTGTCTGGCTATTATGTCACACAAGTAGTCAATGTACACAAATTTAATAAATAATCAGACAATCCATGAGTCATTGGGTTACCGTTTCAGAGATATTTCTTTACCTAAACAGATAAATAAGAATGATCATGCGTGGGCAAAAAAGCAGCAACAGAAATTGAATCAAACTTCCTGCTGGCTTCTCGGTTGACTGTGAGAAGCTGGCAGAGAGTATCAAAATCATGGATCATGTGACTGTGACAGCACAGTGTTGCTACAGTGGCCATAATTTTGCCAGTGCAACTGGCCTGAGCAACAATGTGCTGAGTTTTGAAACTTCAATCTCACAGGAGTAATGGAGTTGGACACATTCTTTAAATTAGCCCATTTGAGTTACTTTAATTCAAAAATTGTTGCCATATAATGCACCATTTTGTCTAACTGAAAGTTACAGGACAGTTTTAGTTGCATATAGATATAAACAAATCATAGAGTTGGAAAGGACCTCAGAGGTCCTTTACCACAAACAGCTGTTCACTGCAATGTCCATTAGGCCATCTGTGATAAATGAAATTCCAACCTTTGAAGACCACCAAATGAAGTAAATAAAAAATAATAATTTAAACAGAAGCAGGGAAATGGGAAGAAAAGCTTTTATTTTCCTACTTACTTGTTAATTGTAATTAGTAATATAGATATTTGTAAAAAAAAAAAAACAACAACTAGGGGAGTAAATACAAAATGTGGGAAGGGAAGTACACAGGATTTGATTGGTAGCACGTGATGAAAACTCTTTAAATCAAACAGATCCCTTGAGATGGGCTGGAGTAGCAACAGCATGACACTGGGAAAAAAATGCAACTGCTTCTGGAAATTGTTGACAGGTAGTAGATGTAATGGAATGTGCATTGCAGCAGCAAAGAAAGAGTATTTTGCCAACTCACAGCCTTCCCAGAAGGAGGCCAATTAGAAAACTTCTCAGTCCTGAGATGGATGGTGAAGGGGGAAAGGAAGTTCAAGGTAACCATATCCTAGAATCTCTTAGAATATGTCCCAATATATATCATTATATGCAAGGAAATAAAAGACCGGACTCAATTGGATCTCACTGTCTCCTCTCTGGGCTTTGGCCTGACATACAAGATCCCTGTAATTCTTTTGCTATAAATCCAAAGTACTCTGTTTGTGTATGCATATACAATTACAATTATTATAACAATATATTTAGGAGGAGTACAGGTAGTCCTCAACTTACAACTACAATTGAGCTCAAAATTTATATTGCTAAGTGAGATATTTGTTAAGTAAGCTTTGCCCCATTTTATGACATTTCTTGCCACAGTTGTTCAGTGAATAACTGCAGTTGTTAATGTGGTAACACAGTGTTAAGTGAATCTGGCTTCCCCATTGCCATATGATCTTGGGAGACTGCAACTGTCATAAATATGAACAACTTGTCAAGCATCCCAATTTTGATCACATGACCATGAGGATGCTGCAAGTAAGTATATAAAATGTCATAAGTCATTTTTTTCAGTGCCATTGTAACTTTGAAAGTCACTAAATGAACTGTTATAAGTTGAGGGCTAGCTGTATCAGGCATGTTCATGGTCTTGAGTTATTTATAAAAATAACAAAGATGAGATATAAATAAATGAATAAACAAAGCTATTTTTCTTAGGCTGCTGATGATCTTGATTTAATTTAGTTGTATTATTTTACAGCTATATAATTCTGTATAATATATGGTTAATAAATCTATGTAATACATTATATTATTTTCTACATAAGGGACAATATTTAATCTAGAATTTTTTTGTAATACT